GGCCAACGTGGGGTTTTGGTGGTATTTCACACCATTTATCACTTTAATTGTTATCACCTGGGAAGGTCCGTCTAATCCTCCACCACTAATTATACATTTGAAACTGTCCTCCCACCCATAACCTGGGTTTAAAAAATAGGTGCACTTACTCTTTCTGCCCAATTTCCCCATCACAGAGCCCACCATTCCTGTCTGCAGATACATACCTCTATGAGGCTTGTCTCTCTGTGTCTACTGGCCAGGAGATAGAGATAGATGAGCCCCATAGGAGGTCTATGAGGCTTGTCTCCCTGTGTCTACAACCCTGGGGGATGGAGGTAGATGAGCCCCATAAAAGTCTATGAAGCTTGTCTCCCTGTGTCTACTGGCCTGGGAGATGGAGCTAGATGGGCTCCATATAAGTCTATGAAGCTTGTCTCCCTGTGTCTACTGGCCCGGGAGATGGAGCTAGATGGGCTCCATATAAGTCTATGAAGCTTGTCTCCCTGTGTCTACTGGCCCGGGAGATGGAGCTAGATGGGCTCCATATAAGTCTATGAAGCTTGTCTCCCTGTGTCTACTGGCCCGGGAGATGGAGCTAGATGGGCTCCATATAAGTCTATGAAGCTTGTCTCCCTGTGTCTACTGGCCAGGAGATGGAGGTAGATGAGCCCCATAGAAACCAGCAGTGATAGGACTTTGGTGCCGGATGTAAAATATCCTCATCGGCTACGAGTGTCAGATCTTGGTAAGTATTTAAATTGCCTTTATTGAGAAAATATTTATAAAAAGGTAAAAAAAATAATTACATCAGAGGTCCATCATCTGCTGTTTCCCCTCTATGAGTAAGAATGTGGAATAATGAGTTGGACTTTCTACCCATAGTTGTATAAACAGCAATAAACACCTCAGAGTAACCAGTGCTTTGGGGGCGGTCTGGGACACTCGTGAAACTGAAGCAATACTGCAATGTAAATCTTGTAGTGCTTACGCAAGCATTCTCAGCAGAATTTTCAGAAATCCTCATTCTGACACATTTTGGTATACAACTACAAAGTTCATGTCATGAGACCCAAATCATGACAAAGGGGAACCATATGACATGATACCGAAATAAAGGTTGGATGAGGGAGACAACTTTTGCAATGTGAGGGAAATAAAGAGCCAGCTCAGCACACACATTAGAGTTTTCTACCAACTACTATGTAGTGGAAGGGTCTGTCTGATAGCACAGTTTAGGTAGGCCCTCGTATTTCCTAGTTTTGGTACACCTAAAGCCATATGTACACATGAAGGTTTTATTGAGCGATTCCCAAAGCACAGCGACCCTCAAAATGATGAATCCCATTGTTATCCAGAGGTCACTTGTGTCACTCTGTTCGTGGCTTGAAAAACGACATGAGTTTTTTTGGGCAGATTCCCGTGTTTAGCCCCATAGACTTTAATGGGGGCGCCTGAGAAACATGCATAACACACAATTTTGCACCCAACAACCACAATTTTGCACTCCTTCTCCTAGTGAGTAGCTTATCATTGACTAGAAGAAAAAAAAATCTCATACCTGGAAATGACTGGAAAAAAAAAACAACAAAAAAAAACACACAAAAACCATGCAAAGAATGCATCAAAATGGCCTGAAAAGGCTCCCGCTGAAGTGCGGATGGGGACAAAAGCTGACTGGAAGAGCAGATTGTAATGTGTATGGTGAGCCCTAGAAACACATCACTCACGCAGATGCCAGATTCCACCCTCTTAAGTCAGCTTTTTAATTAGAAATCCAGTATGAGTTTTCTCACTCCCCTTCTAGGTAGTATGCCTCCTTAGACATGAGGATGGACCCGCTCCACGCAGCCGGACCCTACAGCGGGCAGTGTAAGCATTTGATATTCCAGCAGGCAGCCCTGATAACACATCCTATACAGATGAAAGAATCGTCCCGGCTCTCCCAGCTGACCATACACCAGTGCAATTGGGTTTATATGGAAATTCTGCTAAATCGTTCATCGAAACATTCAAATGGTACCATCGTGGAATTACACATTTTAAAAGATGTTTCTAACGATCCAAAGTCCTGCTTCCAGTTTAACATTTTCCAAGCACATGGGAATTACAGTACTTATTATTTTTCCCAGTCAGGAAACACATTCACTGTTAACATTTTGTTTATTTAGATAATTAAAAAAAAAAAAA